TCTAATCCGATATCTGGAAGCCATAGATTCTCCCAACAATCGGGTTTGTCCGTGAGTGATCTGAGGCACCACTTGTGATGCTCAGGCGTAAAAATACTCCTACGTATTTATTATAAAGTACATTTTATCGGCATTGATTTGAAAATGCTACGGAAATTCAAGGGCCCAAGGGTGCTGTAGGCGTTGTAGAACGCCTCTGACTTTCTAAAACTGAAAACATGTTTGTACATTGTATTTTATTTTTTTTAAATGTAATATCCGCGTACAACAAACAGTTTAGACATTTGTTCAATGAGTGTTACTGTCATTTTGTGAGTGAGTGTGGCTTTACGCCGCTTTTATTCATATTCCAGCAACGGCGGGGGCTCCGGAAATGGGTACCCATGTGGGGAATTGAACCGGGTCTTCAGCATGACGAGCGCACGCTTTAACCATTAGGATACCCTACCGCCCCCATTTTGGCAGATAACACGAGTATGGCTTGAAGATTAATATTATGCATTCCATATCCTATGTCCTGAAAACTATACAGTAAAACTAAAGAGTACGGAGTTCAGAGAAAAGCCATTGTTTGTCTCGAAGAAGTAGTTGACGAAATGTTCCGTCTCTTATACAACCCAGACCGTCTAGATCTTTAAGATGAAATGCTGGAATGGTCAAACACGGATGGTGTCTGAAAACGTATACAAATAACCTTGACCTTTGCATAAATTAAGATTGTATTGACGCGTTTAAAGAATACGGTTCATCTTTAACCAAAATCCGACGATTTTCTCAGATTACTCGACTTCAGTTCCAAACTTTCTGTTTTTTTGTCTTCAGATGTTTGTGAATGTGTGAGCATTTCTATGCTATCGCTGCTTTAAAATCATGCTTTCATTTTGATTTTAAACATTTAAGAGTAAAAAGAAAACACTTGTAATATAGCACACTCATCCCTTTTGTGTTGAAGAGCATGAACGCCTGGTTTCGGAGAGTAAGCTCGTGAAGATCAATACAGAATACAGAATAAATGTACATTTTTTGAAATATCTCGTGACGTGAAAAAGCTGATGTTTGATGTCAAGTAACTCAAGCAGATACACGCTTCGACGCTAATGGAAACTGCAGGTGCAGCACGGGATTTAAAAACTGACACGCGAGACGACAGTGTCATGTGGTGAATGCACGTGCTTCGCGTGTTGGCTGACAATACCTATGCATGGTGTCACGTTATGTACATCAACCACGTGACATTAAGACGACTGAGGCGTCGGAACATAAGACATATTTCAAAATGCCGTCGCCATTTATCGGACACTTGAGTATTTGATAAATCCAGTCCCAGGCCCCGTGACAGGGGTAGAGAACATAAATAAACCTTTTAGTATTTCATTGTAATTATAGGCCCTTGTCAAACATACATGAATCCAGAGCCCCCAACCCCAAGAGAGCCCCCAATCCCAAAAGCTTGAGATGACGGTGTCCAAGAGCTGCTCTTCCCGGGCGGGGCCTGAGTCCAACGCATAACTGCAAATTCCCTTTTCAGAAAAGTCACTAAAATCGATGCATTAATACCTATTTTTGCGATTTTTTACGGATTTGTATTTTTGGTTTTCATATGGTCCCAGTTTGGCGAGGGATTTATCAGTTTTGCTGTGAGACATGTCATTAAGTGATAAAAACGAGAGTCTCAAGCCAAGGTGTGAGAGTTGACAGGTACGAGTATGTGAATCCTGAGGGCACATACTATCGTACCATTTGTGGAACTTCTTTTGTGACTTATTGTAAGATCTCCGCCTAATTAAAGACGAGATGTGAAACATGGCGTTTAGCTTACAATTATGTTCCATTGTAACTTCAGTTTGCACACGTGCATATGTGAACACGCATTCACGCACTTAAACACGCAAACCCACTCAACCAGAAACACAAACACATACGCGCACACGCATGCATACTTTTCAACAGCAAAATTCACGCAAATTCACTAAATTTCTCAGATTCATTCACACACACGTATCCAAACACAAAATTACACTCACTGAAGCACGCACGCAGTCACTCACACACACAGAGACATACATGCGCACGTTTCTATTTTATCCCAGTGTGTGAAGCCAATTTATGTTGTCCCCGCAGTGATATTGGTGGAATATTGCTAAAAGCGGCGTAAAACCATACTCACTCACTTATGTTCACTATATTCTCACATTTGTGTGACTGTATCTGTGAGCGAGACTGCAGCACTCCTAGCTTTACCAGACATATCGTTCTCAAAGACGAACCTCGGCGTATAATTCATCTACAGGTTACCCAGTACAAGGTCAGTTCCGTGTAATAACTGTTTGTCCTGAAATACAACTGAGAGCTATACCGTTTTTGTGTTTCTTTTTGATTATGTTCACACAGGGGTCTCCATTGTTTAACTGTTTTATTAGATAACAAAAATCGCAAATGATTGATTGATAATGTCAACTGATAGCGCCATATTGCCGTCAATGGCACGTCAATGGCAATTGAACATGAAATGGTTCGGTTGTCTTGCAGTCTAAAAGTAATATCTGGGCAAACCTGTCTCTACGGCGCTCTGACAGAATGATAACCATGTAATTGATTCCCATTTGTCTAGATCGATGGTCATGAGTGAGTGAGTGAGTTTAGTTTTACGCCGCTTTTAGCAATATTCCAACAATATCACGGCGGGGATACCAGAAATGGGCTTCACACATTGCACCCATGTGGGGAATCGACCCCAGGTCTTCAGCGTGACGAGCCAACGCTTTAACCACTAGGCTACCCCACCGCCCCTCGATGATCCTAATGTCAATTACTTGGATGTCCACATGGGCCGCAGTCATACAGCTACAATAATGCGGGGTGCAGTGTGAAACAACAAACAGAACAGATGCTAATGATGTGACAATATTCATGATTCACACATCCGGGGAACTCTTACATTGTTTTAACGGTGAGCCTTCAGACCTGCAAGGACCCCAACAGTTACATGACAAAATTAGCGTAACTCATTTATTCCAGGTTGAATTGGTCTTATTCCTGGTTGAATTGGTCTTATTCCATGATGAATTGGTCTTATTCCATGTTGAATTTGTCTTTGAATGTTGAATTGGTCTTATTCCATGTTTGAATGTGTCATATTCAGGAAATTGGTCTTATTCCATGTTGAATTGGTCTTATTCCAAGTTGATGTTGTATTCCAGAGACCATTCCAGGTTGAATTGGTCTTATTCCAAGTTGAATGTGTCTTATTGGTGTTGTCAAGGGGTCGGTTGGTGAAGCTCGCTGACTTGGTTGACACATACCATAGAACCATAATTGCGGAGATCGATATTCATGATTTCAATCATAGTATTGTCTCGTCCAACCCGGGTCATCGGCGTGACGAGCGAACACTTTAACCACTAGGCTACCCCACCGTCCGTGGTAACACAGTCTTGAAAAGCCGTCCCCCGGCGTGATATTGCTGGAACATTGCTAAAAGCGGCGTAAAACTGAACTCATTCACTCGTTCACTTGAATAGTCCTGTAAAACTGTTGAATTTTGCGTGAATCCATCGTTGAACGATTTGTGTCATACCGTATGTATTTGATACGATGCAAATTGCGACAAGCAGAATATCTGCCTGAAACGCTTTTAATCGTAATACACAGCATTGTCAAATCCCCAAAGTATTCAGCCTTTCCGTATCACCCTCTCAACCATTGCCTTTCCACTCACTCTTTGCCTTACTGACCGCCTCCGTGGTGTAGTGGTTAGAGCGTCCGCCCGGAGAGCGGAAGGTTGCGTGTTCGATCCCCGACCGCGTCATACCAAAAACACCGTTAAAATATGGTACTTGTTAGTCCCTGCCTGGTGCTCGGCATTAATGGGTACAAGGACAGGTCGGCTCGGAGTCAGTATAATGTGTCTGAGTGGGGTATTCATGCTTCACTGCGGCATGGTATCCTCAGTGGGCTAGCACTATAAAACCAGCTTAAGTCTGGGCTAGTACAAGCAGCCGCACATACACATACACACGCATGCACGTCGTCATATGAGCGAAATATTCTCAAGCACGACGTAAAACCCAATTTCACCTCACCTCCCCTTTGCCTTACTCTGTCAATCAGTCATCACCACACTCCTTCTTTCCCTCACTCCCCGACTGCTCACTCTATCATGTCCCCGCTTGCCCTCTCACCGTCCTCTCACTCTCTGTTTGCCTTCTCTCTATCATCTCATTCCACCATTGATGTATCATCGCCTACGTAGTGTAACGTATGCCCGGCGAGCAGGTCAGCGGTTGGATTCTCTTGCCGTGTCACATTAAAGACGTTAAAACACGTATTTGTTGTTACCCTGCCTGGCAGTCGCCATTAAGGTGATAAAACAAGGATCCACTGTCCCGAGTCAGTATAGTATGTCGGGTATTTATTAGATGCCTTTGATGCCATTGACCTCAGTCTAGACACGCAGTCACGTACGCATCCAGGTACACACACGTGCAAGCAAGTTGCTTTGCGAGTTGAATAATCTTAAAGGCCACTTTATTACCTATTTTACCTCACCTATTTCTTATTTTCTAAATCTTTCTCCCAATGTCCTTATTATCTCGCTCCGTCTTTGTTTAACTCTCACCCCCTAATCCATGTCCTGGGGCGATGGTATAGTCTAGTGGTTAAAGCGTTCGCTCGTCACGCCAAAGACCAGGGTTCGATTTCCCACATGGGTGCAATGAGGGAAGCCTATTTCCGGTGTTCCCCGCCGTGGTATTGCTGGAGTATTACTAAAACTCACTTTCAGTAAGGTCTTACGCCGTTTTTAGCAATATGACGAGCGAACGCTTTATCCACTAGGCTACCCCACCGCCCCTTCATGTCCCACAATCCGAAGTCCGAGAAATAACCAAACTTCACTGACTCACTCCCTCAGTTGTGACTGACTGATATTGCTGGAATATTGCTAAAAGCGGCGTAAAACTCACTCACTCACCCTTTCACTGACTCCCTCTGTGTTCCAGTGAGCACCTGCACCATGCCTTCCAGTGAGGATGGACACCGGCGCTGACTGTAGCTACACTGACTCCGCCAACGTCTACCACGAGAACAAGTGCGTCGAGGACACTGTCTTCTGCTGCCTCAACGGTGAAGTCAAAGTCTGCTCGTCGTCGACGTGCGGTGTCAGCGTGACGCCTACCCTCTCCACATACGCGTGAGTATAACGACAGCATATACTACAGCTGGTGTAGTGTAGGAGAGACTCATATACAGTCACGTATCCATCTAGAGCAACCCAAGGGAGGTTCCGGGTCAGCGTTGGACCCAGCCACGTCTGTTGATCCTACTTCGGCGACAATGGGGTCATGTGGTCAGGCTCAGTGACGTAGCTGACCGCATGTAATTCCTTCGGCGAGGGGCCCTCCCAATCACCGGTTTGTCTGGTCCAGACTCGCTTATTTAGAATCTACATCAAGACGCTGCTTTATGCAAAAAAACCCCACAAAGTTGTAACCCACAAATTAAAGCTGTATGTTTCCTCACCAACTTCTAGAATACCAATCAAACAGCCATGTTGTCTTAAGGTATTCTGTCGATTCTCATTATTTTGTTTTGTCATGTCCATTCAGCCCAGTCACCAATATTGGTACAGGACACGGACTTGAGACGGAACACTGATGTGGCAACGTATTTTGACATGACAAATGCAAGCTCTTTTCTATTTGTACCATTCTATATGAATGAAAACAAGCCATTAATAAGTTACAATCCAGTTGCGCTGAATATATTCTATGTGTGCAAAATGCATTTGGATGTTATGTGAAAAAAAGTCTCGTTTGCTGCTTGATCATGATTATTACCGAGACTGTATCTAATTGCATGGGAAGAGGTGAAAGTGTTCCCAGATAGACACACAGTGTTGTTTATGGCATAGACCCGTGAAGATCATCGTATCCCAATTGTGTAGATCGATGTTCATGTTGTTGGATTTCTGGTCCAGTTTCGATCATTTACAACCCGCCGCCATACAGCTGATATAATGCTGAGTGTGGCGGTAATAACCCAATGTGAGACAATCATGTAATATGGAGGACATATTCTGATCCTGAATCCCACAGGGTGACAAGCGTGGACCATGGAGGACATATTCTGATCCTGAATCCCACAGGGTGACAAGCGTGGACCATGGAGGACATATTCTGATCCTGAATCCCACAGGGTGACAAGCGTGGACCATGGAGGACATATTCTGATCCTGAATCCCACAGGGTGACAAGCGTGGACCATGGAGGACATATTCTGATCTTGAATCCCACAGGGAGACAAGCATGGAACATGGAGGACATATTCTGATCTTGAATCCCACAGGGAGACAAGCGTGGAACATGGAGGACATATTCTGATCTTGAATCCCACAGGGAGACAAGCATGGAACATGGAGGACATATTCTGATCTTGAATCCCACAGGGAGACAAGCATGGAACATGGAGGACATATTCTGATCTTGAATCCCACAGGGAGACAAGCATGGAACATGGAGGACATATTCTGATCTTGAATCCCACAGGGAGACAAGCGTGGACCATGGAGGACATATTCTGATCTTGAATCCCACAGGGAGACAAGCATGGAACATGGAGGACATATTCTGATCTTGAATCCCACAGGGAGACAAGCATGGAACATGGAGGACATATTCTGATCTTGAATCCCACAGGGAGACAAGCATGGAACATGGAGGACATATTCTGATCTTGAATCCCACAGGGAGACAAGCGTGGACCATGGAGGACATATTCTGATCCTGAATCCCACAGGGAGACAAGCATGGAACATGGAGAACATATTCTGATTCTGAATCTCACAGGGAGACAAGCATGGAACATGGAGAACATATTCTGATTCTGAATCTCACAGGGAGACAAGCATGGAACATGGAGAACATATTCTGATCCTGTATCCCACAGGGTGACAAGCGTGGAACATGGAGGACATATTCTGGTCCTGTATCCCACAGGGAGACAAGCGTGGACCATGGAGGACATATTCTGATCTTGAATCCCACAGGGAAACAAGCGTGGAACATGGAGGACATATTCTGATTCTGAATCCCACAGGGAGACAAGCATGGAACATGGAGAACATATTCTGATTCTGAATCCCACAGGGAGACAAGCATGGAACATGGAGAACATATTCTGATCCTGTATCCCACAGGGTGACAAGCGTGGAACATGGAGGACATATTCTGATCTTGAATCCCACAGGGAAACAAGCGTGGAACATGGAGGACATATTCTGATCCTGAATCCCACAGGGAGACAAGCATGGAACATGGAGAACATATTCTGATTCTGAATCCCACAGGGAGACAAGCATGGAACATGGAGAACATATTCTGATCCTGTATCCCACAGGGTGACAAGCGTGGAACATGGAGGACATATTCTGATCTTGAATCCCACAGGGAGACAAGCGTGGAACATGGAGGACATATTCTGATCCTGTATCCCACAGGGAGACAAGCGTGGAACATGGAGGACATATTCTGATCTTGAATCCCACAGGGAAACAAGCGTGGAACATGGAGGACATATTCTGATCCTGAATCCCACAGGGAGACAAGCATGGACCATGGAGGACATATTCTGATCCTGAATCCCACAGGGAGACAAGCATGGAACATGGAGAACATATTCTGATCCTGAATCCCACAGGGAGACAAGCGTGGGATATGGGAGACATATTCTGATCTTGAATCCCACAGAGAGACAAGCATGGAACATGGATAACATATTCTGATCCTGAATCCCACAGGGAGACAAGCATGGAACATGGAGAACATATTCTGATCCTGTATCCCACAGGGAGACAAGCATGGAACATGGAGGACATATTCTGATCCTGTATCCCACAGAGAGACAAGCATGGAACATGGAGGACATATTCTGATCCTGTATCCCACAGGGTGACAAGCATGGGATATGGGAGACATATTCTGATCCTGAATCCCACAGGGAGACAAGTATGGAACATGGAGAACATATTCTGATCCTGTATCCCACAGGGTGACAAGCGTGGAACATGGAGGACATATTCTGATCCTGTATCCCACAGGGAGACCAGCATGGGTGGGATACACAGAACCTGTCCTGGTCTGAAGCATGAAGTCCTGGAGGCCTGGTAGGAACCGGATTCCTCAAGAAGGCCAAAAAAAGGTTATTATGGCCATAATCTACTCAAGAATCCCACGGGGAGACAATCGTGGGGATAGTTTAATGGACATAACGTACTGAGTGACTGTACTGCTTCTGAATCCCCGGAGAGACAGGTTTGATTGAAATTTGATTTAAACATATATATTTTATTCACAAATGTGAAAGGGATTGGGGACAAGTAATCCAACTTAAAATACCCGCTCCCTGTGAGAGACAGGTATAGGAATAATATACTGAACCACAAAAGAAATGTCGCACCGAAAGCGGTTTCTTGAAGCACACACTTCAATTCACTCTAATTAGCAATCAAAACGAAGGATTGAGTTCAAACTTGATAATTATGGCTACCACATTTTGGGAATCAAATTTAGAGTTCATACCAAAAAAAATCACCAAATATGGTATCATAAAGATACCCCAAAGTCAGTATTGTGTGTGGCCTCTATGGGCATCGATGAAAGCGTTGCATCGTCTGTACATGGAATGAATTAGCCGGTTGATGAAGGCCATAGGCACTTGGGTTCATACTCTGTGAAATGCCTGATCGAGTCCAGCAGCAGTTGTCGGCCTTGGGTGGAGGTCATTCAGTCTTCCTTGAATATCGTCCCAGAGGTGTTCTATTGGACTCAAATCAAGACTTAGTGCATGCTGTTGTAGGGTTTGGGATGCCATGCTGTCTTAGGAAGTCCAATGTTACTCAGACCGATTGCACCCCACACCATGATGCTTGGACTACCCCACGAGTCTCTTTCAACAATACACTCATTGGAAAACAATTCCCCCGCCTTCACCATACTCTCACTCTGCCATCGAAAGTCGAAACACAATATGGGCTTTTCATGAGAAAAAAAAGCACAGTTCTTCATTGTCTATAACACCAATTTCGATGCTGAGTTGCCCATTGCAGTCGGTTTGTCGGTGATGAGCGGTGAGGACGGGACTACGATATGGTCTGTGAGGTTTCTTCCGCGCAAACCTCGACGCACTGTATCAGCACTGACGGGTCTGTTGTGAGTCCCAATGGCCTGGCGTGCTGTTTCCGTCGCTCTGGGGAAGCGATCCTGCAGATGGTGGCGCACAATCTGTCGGTCTTGACGTTACGATGTTAGTTAATGTCGCCCACTGCATGGACGGTCTTGGATGCTGTTAGTGCCCTGATACCACTCCTGCAGTCGGTAGATTGTCCTTTCATGAACATTAAAATGATTGATTCAGATTCAGATTCAGTTTATTCAGTAATTCTGGCCTTAAGGCCTACATTACAATTATCGTTGTTACAGAATACTATGCAAGTCACGTGAACATATGGTTTCATACATGGTTAGATTTATGGCTACGCACAGTAAAAATATGTTTGAGATTAATTGCTACAGACTTAATGGTCATAATATTCTTAGAATTTAACAAATTTGACAGTGAATGTTTATCTATAACAGTGTGTGAAAGAAATGGCATATACTTTTTTCGCAAACTTAGATACTGGGTGCATACAAACATGTCATGGAACTCATTCTCTATAGCGCCTGTATTACAATTAGAACAGATCAAATCACTTTTACATTCTGTAGAAATACCATGTTTACGTGCCCTATTTACACAGAAATCATGAAAACCAATTCTTAAAGTTACATAAAGCTCTTATCAAAGATTTATCATGAAAATTTAAAATATACAATTCTGGTTCTAGCAAAGACTTATGAGAGGCATAATATTCTAAATATCTAGAAGTACTAATGGACATAGACCACTCTTGAATGAAAATATCGCATAGGCGCTGTTTGAAAAGAGATATAAAACAGTCTTAAAATGATTGGCTACCCTCCGTGCAGTCTGGCCAACTTGCAATCGTTCCAAGACTTGGTTCCTCTGATCTCTCTTAATTCGTGCCATGGCGATTGTGTCTAAACCAAAATGATTTCAAGCGAGTTTAGAACTCGCTTTCATTGGTAGGGTTGTCACGATATGCACGTGCATTTTCATTTTCACGAATGTCAT